ACCCCTCATGTCTGCAGCAAGCTGCTCCCTGAAGGACTTCTGGGTGTGTGGCTTCGTCCTGCCGGGGTCACCCCTCATCTTGTGCAGCTCCTTGTGGAGAAGGAAGCTGTTCACCACTGCAATGTCCAGAAAATGGTAAAAAAAGGTCTTGTACCATGTCATGGTTTTGTGGTGAACGCTGTAGTACCCAATCAAAGCATCGGACACATCCACACAGCCCATGCTTCTGTTGTAGTCCACCACAGCGTCAGGAACGGTAACAATCTTAGTCTGCCACACACCAGCCCGTTTCACTTTCCTCCTGACAGTCTGTCCACTGAACCAGTACTGGTGCAGAAGTCCGGCGGCGTAGCTTGGATGTTGATGGCTCTGGGGCAACTGTATGCTGATCTGATGCACGTCGTAGCTCGGATGAGGCAGATGTTGATGGCTGTGATCCAGAAGCCATTTGATACTCGTCTTCATCACTGTGAAAACAAATGTGGAAAAAACAATTACTTTGATTACTTCACTGGCTTATTCTTTCAAAAATGTAACTCAAATCAGAAATAATTCCTCCATTTAGCGTGTGTGAAATAACAGTATATACACATATATATATATTAGGGCTGTCAGTCGATTAAAATATTTAATCGCAAATTCTATTGCAACAAACAAATTTGCCTCAATTCAACCTGGAACCTCTCATACAATACAAATGGTGTGTGTGTGTGTGTGTGTGTGTGTGTGTGTGTGTGTGTGTGTGTGTGTGTGTGTGTGTGTGTGTGTGTGTGATGGATCGTTGGAGCTATGTGCAACTCAAGGCATATGCTCGAACCGGAGCTGCCTGGACGCTGCAATCATGTTGCGCGCACTATCCGTGCTGAGTGTGCTGACTTTTCGTACAATGTCCCACTGTCTGGCTTCCTGCATAAAGTCAAGTACTCGGCGCAGTTGTGGCGAAATGTCGCTCCTCTGTTTTCATTTAAACAACTCCTTATATCCGTTAGCGCAGCTAGCTAGCACCAGATGCTAACAACAACAATGCACGTAAGGTCTCTCTCTCGCTCGGGCCACACATACACACACCCTCCCGGTCCTCCAGATGGCCAGTCGGTGCCTGCCGGTGAGCGGGGAAGTGTGGTCTGCCACAAGCGGGCGACAGGAGCGAGGCTGTCAGCATCAGCTTGCAGATGGTATTTTAAACTCGATGCGCTCTGAAACTACGAGGCGGCCGAGGAAAAAAATACACATGCGTTAATCACGTTAAAAGAATTAGTGGCGTTAATTTTTTGCGTTAACGCGTTATTAACGCGTTAACTTGACAGCCCATATATATATATATATATATATATATATATATATATATATATATATATTAGGGCTGTCAAGTTAACGCGTCAATAACGCAAAAAAAAATAACGCCACTAATTATTTTAACGCGATTAACGCATGTGTATTTTCTTTCCTCGGCCGCCTCGTAGTTTCAGAGCGCATCGAGTTTAAAACACCATCTACAAGCTGATGCTGACAGCCTCGCTCCTGTCGCCCGCTTGTGGCAGACCACACTTCCACGCTCACCGGCAGGCACCGACTGGCTGTTGGGAGGACCGGGAGGGTGTGTGTATGTGTGGCCCGAGCGAGCGAGAGAGAGACCTTACGTGCATTGTTGTTGTTAGCATCTGGTGCTAGCTAGCTGCGCTAACCGATATAAGGAGCTGTTTAAATGAAAACAGAGGAGCGACATTTCGCCACAACTGCGCCGAGCACTTGACTTTATGCAGGAAGCCAGACAGTGGGACATTGTACGAAAAGTCAGCACACTCAGTGCGCAACATGATTGCAGCGTCCAGGCAGCTCCCGTTCGAGCATATGCCTTGAGTTGCATAGCTCCAACGATCCGATACACACACACACACACACACACACACACACACACACACACACACACACACACACACACACACACACACACACACACACACACACACACACACACACACACACACACACACACACACACACACACACACACACACACACACACACACACACACACCACACACACACAACACACACACACACACACACACACACACACACACACACACACACACACACACACACACACACACACACACACACACACACACACACACACACACACACACACACAACACACACACACACACACACACACACACCACACACACACACCACACACACACACACACACACACACACACACACACACACACCATTTGTATTGTATTATTGTATGAGAGAGGTTCCAGGTTGAATTGAAGCGAATATTTGTAATGTTCAGAGGTTGTTGTGTTTAATATTCATGAGAATATTTGTCATTGTTCAAATGATAATAAACATTAGCATAAAGCATATTTGTCCACTCATATGTTGATAAGAGTATTAAACTTGAAAAATATTCCTCTAAGGTACATTTAGAACAGATCAAAAATGTGCGATTAATTTCCGATTAAATATTTTAATCGACTGACAGCCCTAATATATATATATATATATATATATATATATATAGACTGATATACAATACAGCTTTATTTATAAACTGCTAATAGTCAATGTATGTAGAACTACAAAACAGCATCCATTTAGCGTGTGTGAAATAACAGTATATATAGACTGGGTTGATAGACAATACAGCTTTATTTATATACTGCCGTGTTATAGTCACGAAATACAATTAATCTATTTATACGTTCACCAACATGATGTTCCCATTGTTTTAGTTTCTCACGGAACGATAACGCTACAACAACAAAGCGGCATCCATTTTGTATTTTGCGAGTGTGGAATTACTATAGATTACACCAAATACACAACTAATAGATACAAACAGAGAGTACATACCTTTCCTGAAGTTCATAATCAAGGTCTGATTGTTGTCTGACTGTTCTGTTGCCTGCTGTTGTCTGTGTTCGTCGCTGTGTTGTCGCTTCGCTGTGTTCGTTGCTGCTGTGCTGGAGCGGTTGTGCGGCTGCCTCTGCTACGTCTGTGCGTAAAGCAGCCGCTGCTGGCATTATTTATACTACGCAGGATTTTATCCCTGGAACCCATTGGTCGATTTGGGTGATTGATACCTTTTTTGAAACTTTAGAGCCAATAGAATCGAGGGGGGGGTTAGTAAATCCCGCTTTTAACTTACGTCAAGGAGAGAGAGGCTTGCGTAAACAGCACATTAGACTACCTGAGCCCCGGACTACAAAACTTTATACCTACTCTGCGGCCATGAATGTAATGATGGATTATCAACAACAATTCTAAAGTGACAAAGAGACATTGGATTAACCTTGAGCAGCGTTTTTATTCCCTTGAACACGACTTTTGATCACAAAACAGCAACGATGAGACCTCATTATTGTTATGGTTTAGAACACTTGTTGTTTTCTTGCTCTGTTCTGGCTGCTAGCTCAGTGAGTTCGTGTCCTACAGTGATGATACTTATATCAAAATAATCTGTGGAGTATCAGCTTTCAGATGATATGTAGTTTGTGCAGAACATATTAAGTTTTAAAGATCGTTTTTGCTAGTTAGCACCGGAAGTAGCATCAGCCTGTTTTCACTAAGGGCTAATGCTAACGCTTCTTGTGAGACTTGTGTTTTGTTTCGGTAAAAATGGCTCATATCGTCAGGTTGCTGAGTTTTTTCCCGTTATTTGAGTATAAGACATTCATAGGTTTTTAAATATTAAGAAGCCCCCAGACGCTGTCTCCTGCAGTGACGCGTTTTTCCCCCCGGTATCGGGGGGGCCGGGCTTAAGATGTTAAACATCATACTTATAAACAGTAGAAACACAAAGTAAGTTGAATTTTTACTTTGAAACATTGAAGAAACATTCTCAACTGAAAATAACAGAAATTACAAAATGGCAACATATGTTCACATTGTCAATTTGAAGGAGCAGTGTGGAGGATTTAGTACGTCTAACAATGGGGATGTAGGTTCCAACCAATGGATAGCTTGTTCACTCACCCTCATATCCCAAGTGTGTAGGAGAATGAATATTGGCTGCAAAACACTTGAGGCCCAGTCATGTTTCCTCGGTCCATTCTGCGCTACGGTAGTCGTGGCAGTGCAACCTAGAGAACAAACATATCAGAATCAGAAACGGGTTTATTGCCAGGTAGGTTCACACGTACGAGGAATTTCACTAGGTGTCGTGGTGCATACATACAAATAAAAAACAAAAATAAAAAAAGTACAAAGATAGCGAACTATATTAAGAACACTAATAAAAATATAGTAAGATAGAAATAAAATAAAGCAGTAATTTACATCGAAATAGAATGCAATAAATTATAGAATATAAAATATGTGCAGTAACCAATATTTAAACATTGCATTATTTACCATCCTGTGAACTCCATTATGTAATGCATAGAGTCTACGTTGTGGCTGAGGTAAAGTGTCAGTGGGGGGGGCATGCCTTGTTGAGGTGGCGAGAGGTTCTGGTCCTGATGGAGAGAGGTTCTGGTCCTGATGGAGAGAGGCTCTGGTCCTGATGGAGAGAGGCTCTGGTCCTAATAGAGAGGTTCGGGTCCTGATGGAGAGAGGCTCTGGTCCTGATGGAGAGAGGTGTTGGTCCTGATGGAGAGAGGTGTTGGTCCTGATGGAGAGAGGTGTTGGTCCTGATGGAGAGAGGTTCTGGTCCTGATGGAGAGGTTCTGGTCCTGATGGAGAGAGGTTTTGGTCCTGATGGAGAGAGGTTCTGGTCCTGATGGAGAGAGGTTCTGGTCCTGATGGAGAGAGGTTTTGGTCCTGATGGAGAGAGGTGTTGGTCCTGATGGAGAGAGGGTTCTGGTCCTGATGGAGAGAGGTTTTGGTCCTGATAGAGAGAGGTGTTGGTCCTGATGGAGAGAGGTTCTGGTCCTGATGGAGAGCGGTTTTGGTCCTGATGGAGAGAGGTGTTGGTCCTGATGGAGAGAGGTTCTGGTCCTGATGGAGAGCGGTTTTGGTCCTGATGGAGAGAGGTGTTGGTCCTGATGGAGAGAGGTTCTGGTCCTGATGGAGAGAGGTGTTGGTCCTGATGGAGAGAGGTTCTGGTCCTGATGGAGAGAGGTTCTGGTCCTGATGGAGAGAGGTGTTGGTCCTGATGGAGCGCAGCCTCCAGCCAGAGGGTTGTGTTGAAGGCAGAGCTGAAGTCCACAAACAGGATCCTGGCGTAGGTTCCTGCTGTGTCCAGGTGCTGGAGGAGGAAGTGAATTGATAACTATTAGTAAACCATAATGATGGATGTTATTATCAGCAGCTGCCAATAGATCCCCTACATCTTGTATGATGGACCTTTGAAGCAAAAGCGCACGCACTATTGTGGGAACAATCAAACGCACCCTCCCAGGCACTGCGTGTTAGCGAAGTACAACTGGGATTTCGAAGAGGAAGATATGCTTGGTCAATTCTTAATAAAAAAGAAAAACCAACAAATTGAGCACTTGAGTTTTCATTAGCAGCGCCTAGCTACAGCTGCGGAGCTTTGGCCAATACCGCTAACAGCCTATTTCCTTAAAATGGTACATATCGCTGAATCTATATTTTCATCTTCAGGTGATGACATCTGCATAATGTCCCTGTACAATAAGATTTGAGCATTTTGTAATCCAGTGAGGAATTTCAAGACCAGTAAATATTGATTGATTAAACAACACTAAATAAAATGTTAGTGTTTTCTTCAAACTCAGACTCTCTGCTGCGGCTGTACTTCAAAGACAAAACAATTGTCTGATGATCTTTGTTGAACAAGGTCTGATTTTCCTGTACATGTACAATGTGGGGTATTTTTAAATACTTTACTAAACCACATTCAATATTATGTTAGACACAAGTTAGTTATTACTCAGATATCAAAGTATTTTCATCTGCAAGATGGAAGAATAGCTGGGTGCTGCCTGGAGAGACTGATGAGGGACAGTCTGCCATCAGCAGCTTTCCACACAAAACCATCACATCTTCTCTTCCATAGTCCTCACTGTCCACTGGTGCTCTGTCAAAAGAGTGAACATCACAGCTGTCATGGTAACCCTTTGTTACACAACATACAACCAACATGTGTCAAAAGTGACCCGAATTAGTTTTAATTGTAAATATCTTTGCAATAAATTACTTGAACCATTCAGGATCCCAGGTATTCCTCAACTAACATTATTTTTGGATCAACACCAATTCTAATTTTTATTTTTCCCTTTCTTACTTTTTGAATAAAAATCATGCTTGTATCACTACACTTCTAAGGCACAACATGGGTCAAACATTACCCGTATTATTTTTGCTATGTTATTTCATGCATGGCTGAGTGTTTCTTTACTATACATTTTCAAAAATAATTAATTTTAGCAGTGATTTGGACAAAGCATGTATGATGTAGTAATACAAAAAGTATTTTAGTTCACAGTGTGACATTAGCTAGTCATGAGCTGAAGCATGAACACATGCGTGAACACATGCGTGTAATAATATAGAGCAGAGCTAACTAGCAAATTAGCCGAACGTTAGCGGTTAGCTGTTTATGCTATGCTAGCTGTTGCCTACTGAACATTAACAAACTAGATTCCGCTGTAAGAAAGCTGTGAAACTTTACATTAAACTTGGCGACAACACTGTGATACCACACTGCATGTTTATGTGTAATTCTCCCGTGTTGGAGACGAGAGGGTGGGGGGGCAGCACTGCAATAAACTGTAAGCTAACGTTAGCAGCCGCATGTTAAGCCGGGTTTCCCGGGCGCAACATCTTGCAAGAAACAGCATCTCAGGGCTTCTTAACATTTAACAACCTATTAATGATGCATACCAACTTAACGGGAAGAAACTCAGCTAACTAGAAGAAGAAACGTAACCGTAAATAAAAAATAAAACATTCACAATCTAAGGATTATCTAAATACATGTTTAACTCCATTTAAGTCGCAGGACTCACCAGATCTCAGGTCTTCTGTTCTTTGTTGACGTCCCGATGCTCATATTTAACGTGTAGATGTAAAACGATCCCGATATTAATCCATAAACTCCTGCAGCAGACACACAGAGAGCTGTAGCTCGCAGGAGGAGACCCGCTCAAACTGACGTGGATGTTTCAAATGTGAACGACAGGCGCGGACATTGGCAGGTTTCTTCGATGACGTTTATATTAACCAATCAGGAGTGTTGTGGACTCATTCCAAACATGCCTGACTTGTCTGCCGTGTTTGGCTGAATTCTATTTCAAGTGCCGTAGCTCTGGCTGTCGGCCAGAATCCGAAAACCATACATTATACTGTAAAACTAAGGTTTATTACTGTAAATTGACCAATGGAAAAAAAAAACATCAACATAAATAAAACAAGGATAACTGTGACTTGTTGAGTAAATAACAGTGTGTGTTTTAAACATTGGTCCTCCCTGCAGAGATTTCTCCACTTTCTATGATTTTAATTTGTTTTAATGATATTGTCAACTGTAGATGTTTACAATATAGTAAGTTAGGAATTTCATGAAAACAAAATGTATTTACTTTTGTTTCAACATTGGATATTTTGTGTTTGTGGTGGATTCAATCGAATATTGAGAAAATGATTTATATAAAAATATTTTACTTACATTTTACGTTTTATTTATTTTACGTTTTTTTTTACAGTTTTATGTTTACCTTAAAATTACAAAGAAAATCTTAAAGTCTTATAATAGTAATACACTTTTATATTACGAGTTACATATTTAATTACAGATAAAAAAATATATTTTACGTACATCTGCATGTATTTTCTCAAAGTGCAAAAATACTGTAAATATCATATAGTAAATTTACTGTAAAAAAAAAAGGAAATAAACGTTATTTGTTGTTATTGTCAAAATACTTAAAATAATGTTTTGGGTTGTTAATTTATATTTAATATCTGTCATTTTACAGGATTTTGCAAGTTATGTAAAAAAATATGATAATTACTATAACAATTTACAGTTATTTCCTGTAAAATTACGATCTTTTTTTACAGTGTACTCTAGTGATATATGTCCTTTCCATTGTGAATATTTAGATACTTGCCGCTTATATTTGTGTCTCATTGTATCTTTTAAATATGTTTAACTCGTGACAACAAATGCTTGACAACACTGCTGCTGTGAATTAAATAATATTCAAATCTGGGACGAATAAAGCGTTGAATGTGTGAAAGCTGACTTGAATATGTAAAGCACATTGAGAGACTGGAAAAGTGCTATATAAATGCAGTCCACTTAAAATGGTCACTCTTGAAATAGGTGAATATTCATGCGTCTTACATTTAAAATATATAGTCTGTTAAATAAAAAAAGCCAAGTAAGGATTTGATCATTTTTAATCTATGAATCATCCCACTGGAGCTGAACTTCAGACTGTGATGTCAGCAGTGTGTGGGTGTGGTTTGCTGCATGAAGTCTGTATTTAAGGAGGTGTTGTTGCAGACTAACTTCACTTCCTCAGCTCAGCAGCAGACCAGCTCCTCCCTCCATCACCACTATGGCCAGCACATTTGGCCCAAATGGTAAGTGAATAAATTGTATTCATGCTGTTGATTGTTATGTTTTATCGGCGAGGGGTGGATTTTTTTTTTTAAAAACCAAATGCCTTGTGAACTTCATCTGAGAAGGTTCTGCTGGGCGGGCAGTATGGCAGCGCTGGAGCACTACTCCGGTTTGATTGTTGACATGTTTGTTTATAAGAGCCGACCCACCCTCTTGTTGTATATCAGTTACTGATTGAACGCTGCAGCTGATCTGATACTTACTGCAGTTTCACACCAGAGTGAACACTGATGACAGGTTAAACTCAAGATCATCACTCTAATGTATTGTATTACATTTGTTTTCTGATTTAAGATCTAGTTAAAGGTAGGTTTTAAATGTCAACAACAAAAAAGAGCACAAACAACTTTCTTCATACAATAGAAATAATTGTTCTATTCATGATCTGTGATATTTCTCCTGTTTACTTTTCAGCATGTCCTTTATTAAAACCAGTCTAATCGGTATAGGCTCTGTCAGCATTAAAAGCCTGTTTTATTTCTCTATTCACATCAAATCTGCAATCATTCCAACAACATCAAAACACTTTTTTCTCGAATCAATGCAAACATGCTCCTGAGGGTTCCTCCTAGCTCCTCACCCTTGTGCTTTTTTGACCATTTATTTTGGAAAATAAACAAAAAAGGATTGCAGTCCCTTTTTCATTTACTGTTTTTTAGAATTAAATATTAATGATCGTATGTGCCTTTTTAACTTCAAACCTTTAGTCATCAGACGCCGGGAAACATGCAGAGCTTAGCCTTTGGCTCATAGCCCCACCATCCTGTTTCCACTAGGAAAAACAGATCCTTTGATAACGTACGAACTGGATAGTATCAGAGGAACAAGTGTATCATACGTTGGTGGAAGCATCGGCTTAAAGCCTCCATTGTCAGTTTTTATTCAGTATTTTACTGATTTTATTTATAACGCCACTAAACTCCTTCTTTTGTTAATGTTTAGATTGAGAGACCCCAGGGACAAATTACATATTCTACATTTAACTTAGAACAAATAATATTAAGGGCTAGCCAATATCTAAGAAACCCTGAGGTGGAAACTAAATTATGCAACTTAGTCTTAAATGTTTTTAACGGACCAACATGCAGTCACCTGTACTAAAGCCAAGCACAAAACAGAACAGCTTTTTCCCACTTGCCATTGTTATTATTAACTTAAGATATGAGTACTAAAAGCACTTAAAATATATGTTTTGTTTTTCCCCCATCAGAATCGAACACACACAATAATGCTGAGCTCCGGATTGTGTTGGTGGGGAAGACCGGAGTTGGGAAGAGCGCCACAGGAAACACCATTCTGGGAGAAAAGCACTTTAAATCAAAGTTCTCTGCTGATTCTCTGACTGTTACCTGTGCTAAGGCCTTTGGTGAAGTGGAGGAACAGAGAGTTGCTGTCATTGACACTCCAGGTCTGTTTGACACCAGGTTTGATGAAGAGGAGACCAGAGGCAGTATTAACCAGAGCATTAAATATGCTTCTCCTGGACCTCATGTCTTCCTGGTCGTCATCAGACTGGGCAGATTCAAAGATGAAGAAAAGCAGACAGTGCAGAAGATTCAGGAAATGTTTGGAAAAGATACAGACAGATACAGCATGGTTCTCTTTACCCACGGTGATCTGCTCAAAGGGAAACCTATCGAAGAGGTCCTGAAGGAAAGTGAAGATCTGCAGGAACTTGTGGGGAAATGTCACGGCCAGTACCACGTCTTCAATAATGAGGGGAAGGATCGTTCTCAGGTCAGAGAGCTGCTCAACAAGATCAGAAATATAGCAGAGAAGAACGGAGGAAGCCATTACACCAATGACATGTTCCAGATGGTAGAGTGGTTCATAAAAGCGGAAAAACAGAGAATCCTTACAAAGAGAGAAGAGGAAATATGCAAACGGATGGAGGCACTGGAAAACAAAATAGCAAAACTGTACGAGGATAGAATGAAGGAGTTGAAAGCTGATAAGGAGAGGTTATATGAGATAATAGAAGGTCGTGATAGGGAGATTAAGGAGGAAAAAAGGAGAATTAGAAAAGAGGAGGAAGAAAAGGCCAGAAGAGAGACTGAGAAGTCATTTATTTTTAAAAGAATATCTAACGTCAGCTGGTTTGCACGAGAGAGCCTCTGACCTTCTGCAGCAGATCTACCAAACCTTTGACTCTCTGATCCTTTGCACATCTTTATCGTCCCTTTTTGTATTTTCTTGTTTAGAGTGATTTAAAGTATTATTGGTTAATCAAGTTGTGTTAATAACCTTGTGGGATTTTTAAGTAAAAAGGTGTTTAAGTGGTGTCTAACTAATTGGTATGAAAGGTGGGGTAGGTAAGTTTGAGGAACCGGCTCGAGATACACTTGTTGTTATATTCCATGGAATGCTCTTAACATCCCGATAGACAGAGATGGGGTCGTTACTAAAAAAAAGGAATATATTACATATTACATATTACTTTACAAAAAAGTAATATATTACACTACTTCGTTACTCTCTACATAAAGTAACTCGTTACTTTACTCGTTACTTTACTCGCAGGGCCGGCCCGCCCCTCCCTGCAGGCAGATCACGCAGACTGCTAAAGTTTCAAATGTTCTCTAGTTCAGTTTCCATTGTCGCATAAGACTGATCCAGATCCTAAATGTTTTCCTATCTGACCATGGCTGTCCTCTGTCTCCTGATATCTGTATATTTTGCGCAGTCTATCTCTGCTCACGCTGTTGCGTCGGCGTGTTCTCCTGCGTGTTGGCCATGTGTTGCACTGGAACCAGACACCGCAAAGACTTCAGCCGAGCACGTACGAACTGCGCATGCGTGAGTGGCAATAACTCTCCTTACCAGCAGGCGGCGGTAGTGTGTATTCGTCATTCAAAACAGGCAACAACCGGAAAACAGAGAAGAAGAACAGACTACGTGATATAAACAAACAACAAATAGCTGTGCGTTAGCTTCACCTTAGCATGTGTTCTTTGCAGGTGCTTGTTGAGGTTTGATTATGACTGATTTTAGTAAGTAACGAAGTAACGCGTGTCGGGGCAATGTTAGTAACTTTAGTGTGATTACTGAATTATAAAAGTAGCGCGTTACACTACACGTTACCAACAAAAGTAATATTACACCCAACTCTACCGATAGCAATAAATATCTGAAGTGCTTTGACAATAAATCCATTAAAAAATGTCATCAGTGGAAGCCGTGGCGCTGTAAAAAGCACGACCAATCATCTGAGCCGGCTAAAGTAACTGGATGGCCTACCTGCCTGTCAGCCTTCCATCTGTGCACAAACTGATCTCGTGCCCTCATTGGTCATGTGCGCGTTCGTGTGTGTTGGAGGAGGGGCTCTGTGAGGAAGTGGCAGATATTTTCCGGTTCTGTAATTTCAAATTCTAGCGCAGTCGAGCCGGTTTCTCCAAAATGACCTACCCCACCTTTAACTGAATGATATGTGTTGTCATGTTTTATTTGGTCACACATAAGACTACATACAACCCTTGGTAATGGACCGGAAGATGTAAAATAAATATGAGAATAAATGATGACCTTGGAGTGAAGTCCTAAATCATAAGGAATATTTGTCACATTGTAACGAGAATATAGAATAAAGGTATCCATTATAAACCCTGTATATTTGTGAACCATTTCTCAAAATAAAACCATCCCACCCATTCGGATTGGGAGAACCTAAAACAACTGCACGTCGTCCTCTCCTGCTTTTAGGTAAGACTGCACAACTGCCTCTCACTCACACTCAGTTAGAGCCACGCCTCATGACAGACACTAGAATCTGGATCACTTAAGAAAATGGAGTAAATTGTACCTTAAAACAGCTGGTTCATTAAACCAGGTTCACCAGAAGTTAGTAGAAGTCAGACCTTGCTGATCCAGCTTGATCCAAGCCTGGGGGTACAACTACAAAGACTCTAAAGCTCCTGATAGGTCAATTAGTAGGTGTGATTAATAGCCAGAAATAAACTCACGTCATAAAACATAAACATGTCATGTTGCCAACAGTCTAAAAAGCAGTTATCTAAAGCAGGGGTTCCCAACCTTTATTGTGCCGGCAGATACATTCAAAAAAAATCGCGGACCGGTTGTCAATTTGAACTGATTGTAATATTTACTCACCAGCAGGTAGCAACAGAGGCTAATTGTATGTAACAGCCTGAACAAATACTAGAACAATCCAAAACATATTAACAACGTCGTTTAAAAAAGAACCGGTGTCGTTTTTTGGTTTTTCGGAAAAAACGGAAAACCAAAAAACCGACGTTATTCAGTTTTTAAACCAAAACGGGAAAACAGATAAATCAACGTTTTGGTTTTGTTTGTATGATTTACGGATAATCCAGTGATGGGAAAACGAGGAGAAGGCGCATTATGAAGTGTGTGTGTGTGTGTGTGTGTGTGTGTGTGTGTGTGTGTGTGTGTGTGTGTGTGTGTGTGTGTGTGTGTGTGTGTGTGTGTGTGTGGTGTGTGTGTGTGTGTGTGTGTGTGTGTGTGTGTGTGTGTGTGTGTGTGTGTCCTAGCATTACTATACTTGTGGGGACCTAAATCTGTTTACACAGTCACGTGTGGGGACTTGCCTCCCTTATGGGGACAAATTGGAGGTCCCCATAAGGGGAATCATTAATTTTAGGGTGAATACTTGGTTAGGTTTAGGATGAGGGTAAGGTTAAGGGTAAGGGTTAGGGTTAGGCATGTGTTGGTTAGGGTTAGGATAAGTCTCCAGGAAATGCATGTAAGTCAATGTAATGTCCCCTGAAGTGATGTATACATGGTGTGTGTGTGTGTGTGTGTGTGTGTGTGTGTGTGTGTGTGTGTGTGTGTGTGTGTGTGTGTGTGTGTGTGTGTGTGTGTGTGTGTGTGTGTGTGTGTGTGTGTGTGTTGTGTGTGTGTGTGTGTGTGTGTGTGTGTGTGTGTGTGTGACACTGGCATTTATTTTCAGAAGATATTATGATAGTGACGTTCGTTCCGGTGCACGTCCGACAGCATTTAGCATTAAACTAATTTATTTTGGGAACACCCGCATATAGGCTACCTATGGAGTTAGCCAGATGTGTATAAATTACTGTTCATGGTCATTTGAAAACAAATGCCGGTGTCGGACACAAACACAGAGCTGAGCTGAGCACACACACACACACATCATGCGCCTTGGTAACTGGACATCTCCTTCATAAAACTAATAAAAGGGGGAGTAATCGGGCAGTTCGATGTGTGTAGAGCTGTGTGTGGTTAACACGTAGCAGCCTGCAGTCACTCTTAAGCTGTTCTGATGAAGGTAAACACAGCGAAGGCAGTGCGTAAAAAGGCACAGCTCTCGGCGCGCTGGTGCTGCACTTCTCAGAGGCGGAGTACACGTCCCGCTGCCTCCTGATACTGCCTGCAGCCATTTCATGAAGTGAAGGAGGTTTTCCTTCAAACAGCTGCGGGCAGCAGATACCGTGAGAGTCCCGGACATGAATTCATAGATCAAGGCAGACTGGTTTACTCTCCTGTTTTTCCAATCCGGTGCTTAAACAAAGGCAAGGCAAGTTTATTTATATAGCACTTTTCAACACAAGGCAATTCAAAGTGCTTTACAAAAAACGAAAGACATTAAGAAAATGGCATTTAAAATCAGTCATTAAAAAGAAAAGCTAATAAAATAAACATATAGCTCTACACCCCTGGCCGACATGTCCTTAAAATGAAGTCCGAGTTTGAAATATATCTCAAATAATGTATGCACTGCCATTTCCCCACATAAACATAACAGTCTGCAATTAAACGGTTGTCTCCTCTTCCTACTTGGCGCACCGGTAACTTTCTCGTGCGCACAAGAGGCTGAGACCAGGCTGACCCGTAGTTTCCACTGGGTCCGTCTGCGGCGCGTTGCGTCCGCAAGGATCACGGCCACTCTAGTCAATGGGTGCTATTCCACCAGACGCGCCGCGTTACGGCTCAGAAGCGTCCCAGAAGCGTCTCGCCGCTGGGCTCCGCTCGAAATAGGATTGAAGTCTATTTTTCGACGCGACGCAGCCGTAAGGTAATGTCGGGCAGGAAGTGGAACGGTGACAGCATCCGGCCACCCCCCCCAAATAAACTAATTTGCAGACCCCCCTTCACATCACTACATCGTCTCCACAACGACACGCACAATGGACGACGACGTTTTTATATTGGAAGTGGAAAAACACTTGATTTTATGACACAACAAATCTTTTTTACAAGGACAACACCAGCGTTCTCCTTCGGTTTACAGGCACTGTGTGTAAATTATATAGAATAATTATGATGATTAATGCATTTTTTTTACCACTAAAAGACAGCAACCCATCTTTGATTCATGTTGTTTTTAACTGGACTATTACAATTATTATTAATTATGTCTGTAGTCTACAACACAACAAAATAGGAAATAACAACAATAAACACGATTTAAACAGACACAAAAATAAACCATTTAACTACGTAGCCTATTTACTTTCTTGTAGAAGTACAAATGTCCAGGAAATATGCCCAAATCAACAAGAACTGCGAGCCGGCATGCACGACGCTCCGCTTCCGTAATGCTTCTGAAACGCTCGTGAAACGCGCCTGGTAGGGTATGACGCCGGAGGAGGCCGGACCAAAACCACGGCGCTACCGTAACACGCCGCAGACAGACCCGGTGGAAACTAGGGATGAGCCGCCGAATCCCTCAGAACATCATAAAAGCCATTTTCAACGGTTATCTGGTGAAAGTTTAACCAGGCTACTGGATGAAATAATATGACTGGTATAGGTGCGAATATTAAACACTTTTTAAAAAAAATATTATGATAAAATATTTTATATATTTATAATTCTGCAAATATTACGATAAACTCACAGCTATTTCGCGGCCCTGCAGTAACACCTCCGCGGCCCGGTACCGGTCCGCGGACCGGGGGTTGGGAACCCCTGATCTAAAGGAACCATGAACATGCAGGAAGACTGGATATTCAAGAAGAGTCTGGTTAATAAAACTAATTATGAAATAATTGAAAATGTCAGTATTTTCTCTTCAATAATTGTGAATAATGATGAATATAGTTACCATTATTATT